TTTCTCTGTGGGAGCAAATTTTATGTAAATTAATATAAACCACTGAAATAAATAGCAAATTTGAAATGGAACAAAACCATGGTTTTACATATATATATTTGCACATATTCGTCCTGTTCATGGATTGATGCAGGATTTGATCCTATTACTATTTACAGCTGAGAATCTCCTCTTTACCCCAGAGATAATGGTTGTAACAATCAGATAATCACTAAGGATTATCACTAAGCCCTTCTAGCTATATGTCACTGACATGGAAAACTTGAAATTACTCAAAGAAACTGAGGGGAGAGGGACCTAAAAACCTGCTGGCATCTATTTGCCCAAATATGTTTTGCTGTGGTTTCGAGATGACATCCCTCATACTTTGCAAGAGGAAAAATTCAGATTGTCTTTATCTAACTGGAGCACAGCAGTTGCCTCTAATTAGCCTCCTAATTGGCTACTTGTGGGGCTCACTGGATTGATGGCTCATTGGCTCCAGTGCCCTGTAGCTTTTCATCCATGGGAGCCACTGCCATGGCCTGCTCTGTTTGCTGAGAAAACTCCTCCTGGGTCTGAACCTGTGCACAGAGAGCTGGGTGCATTAATCCTTTTACCGAGACTAAAGTAAAAGTCAATGGTGTGAAAATTATCTAAATGCAACATTATTCCCCTTTGACGCTGATTTTCAGTTAGTTGGTTTTTATTGGTATTTCATGGGAAGAATATTCCTATTGATAGTCTCACATAGTACAAGAGGAAATTGCCAGAAACAGACAAGGTTAAAGAGACTGGAGATATGGCTCAGTCAGGAAAGTGTTTGCCACACAAGCATGCAGCCTGAGTTCTGATACCCAGCACCCGTAAGGACCCAGGCACAGAGGTGTGTGATCCCTACACTAAGGAGACAGACTGAAACAAGACAGCCCCTGGTCCCTAGGGCTCACTGCCCAGCTAGTCTAGCCTGATTGCTGAGCCACAAATTCAGTAAGGGAATCCCATCTCAAAAAAAAAAAAAAAAGGAGAGTGATTGAGGAAGATACCCAACATTGACTCTGCACACACACACACACACACACACACACACACACACACACACACGCATCTGTATATATACACACACATCTGTACACATACACATACATACATCTGTACACATACACATGAATATGTACACACAAAAGAAATTTAAAAATACATATCATATGAATGCCATAGTGCTTTTTAAGTGTTTTGACACAGGAGCTCACTCTAGCCCAGGCTGGCCTCAAACTCATTCTGTAGGTAAGGCTGGTCTTGAACTCGATACAAAATCCAACCTGACCTCAAACTTGGCAATCCTACTTCAGCCTCCTGTATACTGGGATTATAGGCACATAGCACTGTTTCTAGCTCATATTATTGTAACATAATTGATCTTTCTTGCCTTTCTATTTGAAGGAGAATAATTCACTACACTCAGATTGTCTTAGATACTGTAGACAGTAATTGTGTACTGTATACCTCAAAAAACTTGAAGTATTTTGAATGTTTTGCCACTAAGGAATGAGAAAGGTATAATTTCTCACCCAAGTATACAATATAAACACATATTGAAACATTGCACAGTTCTCATTAATACATGCACTCTTACGGTTGTATATCAGTTAAAAATGAACTCATTTTTAAAGAATATACTAACAAACATGAAAAGCAAGCATGCATGGTGTACTGCGACTAGTGTGGCTTGGAAAGTGGAAGAAAAATAGAATTACACATGTAATTCATGTGTGATTCAATCAGCTTATACATTCACGGTTACAGGCCCGATGAACTAAAACAGTGAGCATTCATTGTTGAAAGCATCCATCATGCATTCCCACAAGCTGTCTCCACATGTACAGTTGAACTGGGAAGGAATGGCTGGTCCGGTGTGATGGAGCTTAAATTTAGCAGGGGAAGGGAATTTACAATGAGGTTTAAATGCAGACATGAAGTATTCAGCAAATACAAAAATAGGATCCCTGTGGATCGCTGTATCAGAAGTGAGCTTGCTAGAAGATTAAAAACTGGAGCTTGTCTGGGAGCTCAGGTGAGCCCATGGTTGTTGTACATCTGCTATGCTGGGCTGGGCTGGCTGGGCCTGGTGAATAGGAAACACAAAGGATAGGGGCTCTTGACCAGCAAGGGCAAGAGATGGGTATTTAAGCTTATGCTACAAAGCCAGAATGCCTACGAGGGAGAAGGAAAATCAAAGATAGATGACAGTGGAGGGCAGGAAGTGGGGTGTAGCAGGAATCTTAGACGGTCTTATTAATAAAATCAATCCCGAGGCCACAGCCACCAAACCTCGCCAGTTCCTCAGCTGATCCTGTTTCCTCAGACTGGAAGCTTCTGTGTCCTCATCCCAATGGGTCTCAGCTGAACTGCTGCTCAAAAGCCTGGATGCTTAACGAGCCAAAAGCTTCTAGTTTCTGGTCCTCACGCTGTATATATCTTTCTGCTTTCTGCCATCACTCCCTGGGATTAAAGGCTCACTTCTTGGGATTAAAGGCTGGCTTTCTGGGATTAAAGGCGTGATGAGTCACCATGCTTGGCTGTATCCTTGAACACACAGAGATCCAGATGGATCTCTGCCTCTGGAATGCTAGGATTAAAGGCGTGTGCTTACCACTGCCTAACCTCTATGTTTAATATTGTGGCTGTTCTGTCTCTGACCCCAGATAAGTTTATTAGGGTGCACAATATTTTGGGGAACACAATACCACCACAGTTGGGCATGTCAGGTGTGTCAGAGAAGGCTTTAAGAGTGGGTGTTAAACAGATGTGAAAACAGCCAAGGCACCAAGAGATGCTGGTACACAAGGAAATGATACCCAAAGACACTTAGGGAAAGTGTCTCTGGGATTCAGGAATTCCTCATTTACTACAAGGGGGCCACCCAGCAGGGCAGGCAAAGAGAAAAAGCCACCATGGGAAGACAGGAGACATTATGGGTAAAGAGATGCCTGCTAAGCTGTCTGTTAAATATCAGTGAAAAGGCAAGGGGCAGGAGAGTGGACCCAGGACTTCTGACAAGGGAGTAGTCTGGTGGATACAGAGGCTGTCAGGAGGCACAGTCTCCCCAGGACTGTGGGAACTGACTCATAACCCAACTGCTTGGCTGCAGGTCTGATCATTTCTACAGTGAGTCAGGAAACAGGCAAAGGACAGCAGTAGGGTTGAGCAGAGTTTACTAAAGTCTATGTGTAGATTCTGCAGCTCTGTGCCTTCCAGAAGCAGGACACACAGTGTCTGTGGTTACAGCTAGGGAAAACAGCACCCCCAGGAAACTAGATGCTCATCAAGGAGGAGCCTGGTTGTATCTGAAATCACAGCAACACCAATGATACTTCAGTTGTGTTTCATCTTCTATGATGCAAACACTATTGACAATTATGCTGTCCTATTTTCCATCATTGAGACATAATCCTGGTGTTGCTTGTTGGTGGCATTCATCTCATCAATGCAGAACACTCTGATAAAATTTTCCTAGACAGCCATTATGGCCTGGGCATGTCATTCCAGTATTTGGGAGGAGGGGGCAGGATGAATATAATGAGCCTAGCCACTAAAAAACAAAAACTAAAAAACTAACCTATACCACTCCTGGATATATAGCTGAGGGACCCTGAGGCAACATACCATAGAGACACCTGTACATCCATGCTTATTGCCATACTAGTCATTATGAATTATAGAGTTAGCCTCCTCATCTGCCAATGAATGGATAAAGAAAATGTGAGATATATATGTTGTATTTGGTAATAACAAATTTATGTGTTTAGTCATATCCTAGTAACATTTTCTGTTGCTATGATAAAACATTGACCAAACAACTTGAAAAAGAAAGGGTTTATTTCAGCTTACAGGCTGGATGCCATCATCAAGGGGAAGCCAAAGCAGAACTCAAGTCTGAAGTTGAAGGCAGGCACTGAAGCAGAGGCCATGAGGAATGCTGTGTACTGACTTGGTCCCCTTGCTTGCTCAGACACCTTTCATGTACACTCCAGGACCACCTGCCCAGGGGTGGTACCGCCCACAGTGGACTGGGCTCTCCTACTCAATCATCCCTCAAGACAGTGTCCCACAGGCTCACCTACAGGCTGATCTGATGGAGGCATTTCCTCAGTGAGAATCCTTTCCCCAGATGACTCTAGCTTGTGTGAAGCTGACAGAAAACCAAGCAGCAGAGTACACATTGACATGCTTGCACACACAGGTCACCTCACTCTCATGTGCATTGGAGCCCCTCAGACACACACACACACACACACACACACACACACACACACACACAGCCTCTGCCAGGGTCCTGCCTGATTCTCCATCCCTTCTTTTCTCCTCTTTCTGTGTGGAGCATGTTGATGTGTGAAGCAATCTCATCTGCCTACTTCTAAAAGATTCTCTGTGGAAACCCGCTAGAGTGTAGGTATTTTGAGAGCAAAGATTCTTTCAGCTTCATGCTACTACATCCATGGCACACACAAGGTTGACTGATCACCAACTGAGGGTTCAGATTCTTGATTACACCATTAGGTTATTAACTGTTAGCAAATTCTTATCAAAATTGAATTAAAGCCCACTAAATTATTTTACAGATCTAGAAGAGTAAAATGCCGTGAGATGTTGCCTTGGTTATCTTAATGCCAATGGTCATTTTAGTGCTGTGAGGACATCTGGAGCCTTATAGGAATTGGTACTGCCAATGCTTCTTCACTTTTAGCCCGATCTGTCTCTCTAGCCAGCTGGTCATCAACAGCAGAAGTGAAGACAACTCAGCCATGAGTCCTCTCAGATCCAGTAAGAAGGATCACTCTGCTTTGTCCTTCAACAACTTCATTTACTTGAAGAAGGAAAGTGGTTAAAGTCAACCTTTAGAAATGTTATTTTGAGAGAAAGAGTTGCAGGAAGTCAAAAGGGACGCTCTTTATTTGTAACACAGAAGATTTATGCAAATGAACTACTTGCTGAATTGTCACACAAAATACCCCAACAGATTTGTCCCTGAACATTTACATAGATTCATAATACACTAGGGTATAAAAATCAAAGAGTTTAGTTGAACTCAGCAAACCCACCTCCTGCTTTGAGCTCAGCATTAAGAGCTACACACAGCACAGTTTTGATTCCCCAGCAAGCCTTAGGTAGGAGTCTACAGCAGAAGTAAACTGAGAACACTGTTCAGTTCACGGAGAGTTCCTTACAGTGCCCTCTAGTGAAAGGCACGGGGTAGTGCACTTTACAGAGAGCTGTAGAGACTGAATTAGCGCTGGGCATGAGTCTGGAAGAGAGCTTGCATACTCAAAATACTATAGTCACAAGCATGGAAAATTTCAAAGGGAAGTTCAGTTTCAAAATTGGAAAATGAAAAGTTTATAATTTAATTGAGGTGATATTAAGAAAACACAGGCTTGCCTAGCCATGTTCGGCTGGAGGATTTTCTCTTCATTCTTCATGCTCACCAACATATGATAGGAACCTACCATTAGATGTTTCAAGTTTGACAGGATGGTCTCTGTTATTGTGATTTTAGAAAGTATTTCTCACAGACACTTGGAAATGTTGGAACAAAAACGTTGGGATACAGGCCATGCTCGTCTAAATAGGCAGAAAATGGAATTTTCCTGGTTATGTCTCTTAATCCTTTGCCTCTATTCCGCATCAGCACAGCTCATGGAGGATTTACAGTAATGTCCTCTCTCTGAACAGGAACTACCCCTGGCCTTGCTGAACATGCTGAAAGTGGATCCAGAGTTCAGCTATTGGAGAATTCTATGCCTCCTTTTATTAATATTTCTCGACTGTCACCAAATACAATGATAATAGTCTCTCACGAGGGCCACTTTGGACACTTTCTTGAAGTATGTGTTTCTCATGGGAAGAAGTCCCTGCTTTCCACATCCGTAAAGAATATTTACATGTTCTCTGGGCGCTGCACGGCAGAGGGTGGAGGTCCAGCTTTACTTCCCATCCGCATTCGCATACTCCTTCAGGCATCTGCCCACATCGCTGTGTCTCATCTTCTCTGTGAATACTTCATCAAAGACTCGCTTCTGCTTCGGAGTGAAGTAGTTGATCCAATCACCCACCACTCCTAGAAACACGGGAAATCTATCAGGCAGGAAGCAGCCTAAACCACAGCACTCGCAGGCAATCTATCAGCTGTGCGATCACGTGGAGCAGTGGCTCTCTCCGGCAAGAAGATGACGGGGACTGTTTTTCACTTGCTCATTTGGTGTTTCTAATTATTACTGTGGTAGCTGTCTGTTAATTTCTACAGTTCATAATTACTTATCTAAAGAACGATTTACAATATACAAACATATATTTCCTGGAATAGTCAAGAACATTCTAGTCCAACTGTGACAAAATCGTAAGTGAGGCAATGTGGGCACAGTGATATTCACCCCCTGGGTGCTTGTGCAGTGGAAGCTGAGTTGGGAATCACTATAGAGATGGAGAGCTCACCTTATTTTCAGAAACCTTGTCCTATAAAATTAACAATGGAGAACTGGGCACATAAACACCAGTTTTCCACACGAGACGTTTGGTGATAAGTATACACAGCCTGCTAGCATCTCTTAATTTGAAACATCCCATTTCTCAACCCCCCAAAACTGACTTTCTCACTCCATTCTGCTCCCCTCATCCTTGGGGGCTCAAGTTCCATCCCTGGGGTCTCCGTGTCTTAGGGCCAATGGCACATCATTACCTCTACCCTGTTTTCTGTGCTCTTTTGTTTCCAATTAGCTTGCAAACCCTTGCAAGCAGGGGACTATAATGTATTCTTTGTGTGTAACCAAGAGCTAGGCATCTTACATCATGTGTTAAGAAAACATATGGCTGGGTTGAATATTGGACAATGTCACCTACAGAAGAGAAATGAATTATATTCTAGGAATGGCTTCTTTCTCACATTTTGTATATTTTATTGAAAAACACTGATTTTTAAGCAGGGCCATGTTGTGTAGTTCTGGTTGGCTTGGAACACACATATTATGTGGATCAGACTGGACTTAAATCTGCCTACCTCTGCTTCTAGAGTGCTAGGATTAAAGATGTGAGCAATCATGCCCAGCCCATATGAAAATTAATATACTGAGATTATATTAAGAAAGACATCATGAATCTGAACTCAGAAAACTATGGCCTGTGGAATAAAACTTGCTCACCATTTGTGTTTTGGGTTTTGTTATTGTTGCTGCTGGTGTTTTAAAGATGTATTATTTTATGTGTATAAGTGTTGTACGTCAGTGGGTGTGTCCAGTAGGAGCTAGTCTTCTACGTTTACATCCAACACAAGGAAAACACACATGGTGGGACTCACATGCTGTTAGTTAGTTACAGGCAGTGGTGGCGGGGTTTCATCTGAGGATGGTTGCCAGGGTTGGGGGATGGAGGCTGTTAGCCACCACTGGAGTGTCTCACATGTTTATGGGGTGAGATTTGAGAACAGTGGTTGCTTTGTTAACAGGGCTCTCACGAGGTGAGGTAAGAAAACATCACTGTGAGGCCTGGAGCTCCCGCCTTTCTCACACTCACTCTCGCCTTTACACAACCTCTCACAGTCTTTCCCTTCTCTTTGCTCCTTGCTTATACACACCTCCTCTAAGCTCTGCGGCCCCTCTTGTCTCCTCTCCAGAACCCCCCCTGTCTTTTCCAGTCCTGCCTCTCTCAAACTACCACGGTGTCTTCCTCCTCTGCATTTTCACAGCTCATGCAGGGCGGCCTTTACCGCTCTTCTTTTTCTCTGTCAAGCCTTCCCATCTTCACCGCTGTGGGAACTGCTCAGAGCTCATGAGCAACTGACAGGTCCCCCTGTGTGGCCCCGGCTTCCTGCCTGATTCTGGCCCATGTCTTTCCTTGGCTCCCTTTGGGCTGCTTCATTGTCGTGGGTATTAAGGTCCCCTGAGAGCCATCTTCTGTCACTTGTGCCACAGCTCTTGGCTCTCTCCCGGATGACTCTGCCTCATCCCACAACCTGCCGATGGCTCCCCTGCTGACTTCTGGACTAACCCACACAAGCAGGACTTCTGTCACTGTCCCAGGGGTGACCCACATGTTCCTCACCTAAACAGCTTATCGGCATCTTGCTTAGCTCTTCTGCCTTACTTCCATGCTCTCCTAATCGTGGTTATACCTGCCTCTACCACTTTATAGCACACTGGCCTGCTTCTGTGGTTCCTTCTTCAACCAGAACAAAAGAGGTTGGGGAGAGGAAAGGAGAAGATAGGAGGGGGAAGAAAGGGGAGGGGAGGAGATGGGAGAAAGGGGAGGGGAGGGGAGGAGAGAGGAGAAGGAGGAAGGAAGGGAGAGGAGGAAAAGAGGACAGGGCTTCTCATGAAGTTTAAGCTCTGTGGCACCACTGTCTTCTCATCTCCCACAACCTGCTTCACACATATTCCATGCAGCACAGCAGCCCCCTTTTATCTTCTAGCACAGACCATGAGACTCAGCTGTGGTTCTGACCCCCTCTCTGCCATTGACTCTCCCCAGAAAACATTCCTCTCCTATCATTTTCATAACCATTTCTCAAACTTTCAGTCTCAGATCTACTGGGATCTCCACTCCTTTACAGGAGAAATATGATCCTTCCCCTACACCCTAGACCCACAGTTGTTGCGGAATATTCATTTACACTATGTGAAGATGTGTCATTGTGGTTGGTTTAATAAAGAGTTGAATGGCCAATAGCTAGGCAGGAAGAGGTTAGGTGGGACTTCTGGGAACAGAGAGGACTCAGAGAGAAAGAAAGGCAGAGTCACTAGCTAGACAAAGAGAAAGCAGGATGAGAAGTACAGAGTAAAAGTAATCGGGCCACGTAAAACTATATAGATTAACAGATATGGGTTAATTTATAAGAACTAGTTAGGAACAAGCCTAAGCTATAGGCCAAGACTTCATAATTAATAAGTCTTCATGTGGTTATTTGTGAGCTGGCTGGTGGGACAGAGAAAGACTTTCAACACAGTCCTAGTCACAGCTGCTCATGCTATTAGCATTGTGCATTTCTGTCTAGAATATGAATGTTTGGAGAACAAATGCTGTGTTTTACTCAATATTTGTGTATTAGTTCCAGAATTAATAGCTTATTAATATTTACTGAGTTGAATGCTTGGCTCCTTTCTAAGCCTTGGTTTTGTTACTTTGCATAAATAAGACTAAATTACAATAATAGAAAAGTTAAGATAATATCCATTTTACACATGAGTTGGCAAATATTTGCTGTGTGTGTATGTGTCGGGGGGGGGGGGGAGTTATATTCAGTTGGGCCAAAGAAGGGAAATAAATATTTGCTTTTTAGTAAGAATCATGCATGCATATATACATATAAGACATTTTTGCCTTTACAGGTCATAAAACATTTCTCCTATATCTGGATAAAAATTTACACACTTCAAAACAGTTCTAGAGGCTGCAGAGGTTGCTCAGAGGTTAACAACACCAGCTACTCTCACAGAGAACCTGAGTTCAGTTCCAGTACCCACAACCAACTGTTTAACTCCACTTTTAGGGGATCCAATGCCCCATCTGGCCTCCTTGGGCACTGAACCCACATAGTACAGATACACATTCAGACAGAACATTCTTACACATAAATCTTTTTTTTTTTAAGAGTCTACATTCAGAATTTCCCTACTTGCTTCTAATTCAAACCTGGAGAATTATTGGGGAAGGGGATTTAATTCCTTTTCTTATATTTCTGTGCACACAAGCAATGGGAGGTCCATTATGAAGAAATGAGGAATACAAAGCTCAGTGAGAGCTTTAATCACAATCACATCATCCTTCTGTACACAGAGGAAATTGGTTCCAGAATAATCCTTCTTTACACTGTGAAAATGTGTTACTCTCATGGTTAATAAAAAGCTGATTGGCCAATAGCTAGGCAGGATTTCAGGGCAGAGAGAATACTGGGAAGGAGAAAGATGGAGTCTAAGGGACTGCCAGTCAGACACAGAGGAAGCAGGAGATGAATATGCTGTACTGAGAAAAGGTACAGCCACATGGCAAAGGATAGATTAAAAAAATATATGGGTTAATTAAAAATGTAAGAGTTAGCTAGTAACAAGCCTGAGCTAGCAGCTGAGCATTTATAATTAGTAAATAGTCTCTGGGCAGTTATTTGGGAGCCAGCTACTGGGACACAAAGAAACTCTGCCTATACCAGAATTCTCTGTCACCAACATTCTGAGATGCACATTGCTTATATAAAGTGGCATCTAACCTCTGCTTATATAAAACCTGTAGATAACCTATGAAATCCTTCCATTGCCATGAATCATCTTTACATTACTAACTACAGTCTCAACACCACACACATAGTATCTACATGCTATTGTTTAGGAATCAATGAAAACAGAAGTCTGCACATAATCAGTATGGTGACAATTATTTTCTTTCAGGTATTTTTAATCTTCATGGCTGACTCCTAGATGAGGAAAGAAGCTGTAGAAAGAGAGAGCCAAATGCACTCTCCAGTGGGAGCCCAGATGCAGCCATTTCCTCCCCACTTACCTTTTCTGAACACCAGGTTCCTGTTGGATGTGAGGGCACAGATGGTGTGATTAGGATCACAGTTTTCTTTAACTGCATTGCTTTTCATTTCACTGAACGATGTGTTCCGAGCGATCTTACTCATTTCACTGTCATTCACACTGATGCCAAGGAAAGCAGTTATTTTCTTTAGGCTCTTAGCAAAATCCTGAACAATAAGAAAATTAAGGAAAGTAAGTATGCCTCTTATCTGAGTACTAAATTCATTCCTTCAAATTTGAAAGCAAAATTCATCCACTGTTTGGTCTGGCAGTATTTCACTATGTCATCCCAGTTGTCCTGGAACTCACTCTGTAGACCAGGCTGGCCTCGAACTCATAGAGATCCGCCTGCCTCTGCCTCCTGAGTGCTGGGATTAAAGGTGTGCACCACCCCTCTCAGTTTTCATCCCCCCGACTTTTAACTTAATTTGGTTTCAGCAAAGGCTGATGGAGAAGACTTACATTCTTCATTTCTTCATAGAATAGGAAGAGGATGTTTTTATCATTTTTGTGTTTTTCCCAGCTCAAAACATGATCAAACCAGGAACCATATACAACTGGAAGAGAAGTACATTATGATGTTACTATTTACAAGGGTGGCTTCACCCCACATCTGGCTTCTTCCAGCTTCAGCAAAGTGGCCGGCCAGAGCACTTGTTCATTAGTCTGGAGTGAGACGGTCCAGAAGACATCATTTTACTGTTATTTCACCCAGGTATATGAGGTGCTGGTGGCCACATCTTCTCACAATACTCTGAGTATTTTGTTTTCTTATTTCTAGTAAATATTTTTATCACCATGAAAAGTAGCAGTGAAATAAAAACATATGTTTTTCTCAAAATTTATATTCTGAATTTTTATAATGCTTCTCTAAGGAAACATTAAATATCAGTCATTTTGTTTCTTTAAGTGACATTCAGAATTCCAGGTTTTCATCACAAACATTTTTAAACTTTTCTCTTGAGCTATCTTCTCACTGTGTAGCCAGGGGTAGTTCTGAGGCTCATGGTTATCATCCTGCCTCAGTCTCTTAAGTGCTGAGATTATAACCATGAGCTATCACACCCAGTTTTAAAACTCCTTTTTTTTAAAAAAGATTGTTACAATGGTTATATATTTATTGTCCAAAAATTTAAACTAAATAAAAAAACATAATAAATTTAAAAAATACTCTATTTAATGTATCTTAGTTTAAGACCGAGCAATTCAGCCTTAGCGATTTATCTGTGATTGCTATTATTATTATCTCTTTATTTTGTTGTCAAAATTCTTCCTGCTCAAATGTACAGTATCCTTCAGTATAACCTTTTTAGCAGTGATGATGAGAAAGGAAAGCTTGCTCTTGTCTCGGGACAGCCGCTCACTGGAACCTCGACACACAAAGCAGAGTAAGGTTAAATGACCCTTCCAGATGTCATTGTCCCCCAAACGCCAGCTCTGGCTTGTGTCTCAGTGCCAAAGGTGCTGGGTGGAAAACTCCTGCCTCTGCTCCCTCTTCACTCAGCAAACCAGAGTGAAGGCAGCCCCGAGTGCCTGCTAGTCACTGCATGGGATGGTTTGAACATCAAAGTTTGGAATAAATTATATATAATATAATTACAATATATTTAACTCCTAACTGCAATTTTTGGTGATTTTAGATTTTGAGGAAACAAAATGCAAATAAATAATCCTGCACATACATATTTCTCTTTGTTAATTCATTCATTCTCACAATAATGAGTCTCATTGTGACATTTTCATACATGTACAGTATTATGTGCTATTTCTCTCTCTCTCTCTCTCACACACACATACACACATAAACACATAAACACACACACACACACACACACACACACACACACACACACTGAAATCTAGATTCCATTTGTGAGAGAAAACACATGATGTTTGTCTTTCTGAGTCTGACTTATTTTGTCGTGTATTTTTAAACCAGGAAATTCTGGGCCTGCTATGATGACATTACAGAGTTGGCCTTCCACCCCAGGCTCCCCCAGGTAGATAGAAAACTCCTCAAAGAGTTGCTTTGCCTTTCCTTATCACTGCTTCAGCCTGTTTCGGAGTCTTATCCAATATCTTATCTCAGAATTGCCCAAATAACCACCCTGGCAGTAGAGGATTGCTTTTCTAAAAATGGCCACCTTTTTCCCAGACTCAAATACCTTTAGAAGGAAAACTGATTTTTCTCTCATACAGCCTTAAGGAAGGAAGGATAATGTCACACCAGAAGGGTCTCAGTCTAAGGTCAATCTGCGTCCTCTACCTCCTACCAGTACCCACAGCCTAGGCCCCCGAGTGATGATGCCCCATCCACAGCTGTGGATGCCGCAAGAGGCCTTGGGACTTCCAGAGAAGCCTGTGTCCTGCAGCCAGGGTTCAAACAGCCCCAGAGTCATGGCCACTGGTTAGACGTAATCAACCTCACCCATTAAGGCTCTTTCAGGAAGAAACGAACTGCCAATGTGCGACAAAGCGAGTTTAAGAATGAATTTCAGGGCTGTACCGACTGTAATTTGAAAGGCAGCTGTTCTATTCATCAGAGATGAATTTATATTCCATCTTTTTCCAAATGGTCAGAGGCCAGCAGAAAGAATGGGGATGCTGCCCATGCCGTCCTGACTACCACATGAAAGTATATTACTACTGAATGCAGAGGAATCCTTAAACTGCTTGGACTTCTCAAGTGACAAACTGAGTTAATTTTTAAATCACAAGCCTCATTTTCCAAGTTGTTAATAGAGCTTTACTGTAAAGAAAATTTAGCTTCTAAAGTAAAGACAAATCCACCTCTGAGCGAAACTGCTCTTCTGCGCATGCTTCATTTTTAGTCACCAGATCGTTTCTCCCCGCTCTCGGCTTCGGTTTATGTCTGAATTACCCTCTTCCCCAGAATGCCCGTGGGCAGAGCAGGCTCATGCTCGCCCAATCCATATGCCTGAGAAGCAAGTCAGAAACTTCCCTTGCTAAAAACTTCCAGGACTCCCCCCGTTCCTATAAAATGCAGGTTTCTTTGAGATGTTATGTCCTTTGAGTATTCCACATTTCTCTCCTGATCTCAGTGCTCAATCAACCTGGTCTCTCCGCCGATGTCACTAAGGACACTATCAGTCATCTGTGTCACCCCTGTCTTGCCGCAGCTATAATGGCTTTGACAGACAGCTCCGACAGTTCTATACCGGCCTTCTGTCTTTGATTTCTTCTCTTCATTGGCTCACTCAGCCGTCTCCTTGGCAATGTTCCTCTGCTAACTCAATGCTTATTTTGATAAACTAAAGAAAAAGAAAAAACACTCAGCAAAACACTTCAAACTCTTCCCTCTCTCTAGTTGCTGCTAGAGGACTTTGCACAACTCTGTATTTGGACTCTGGATATGTGCTTCCAACCTGTGACTCCAAGGCTCCCTACCCACCTGCATGCATTACCTTAACACTCTACTCTCTGCACCAGCTGTTTCTGTCTTCACCTGACACCAATCATAATGCATGTCTTAGGATCTAGTTTCTAGACATCACCCTTAAAATATAGCCACTGTATTATATAAAGCAATACCTTCTGCAATGGAGGACTTACGAGATACACAACCCTAAGACAAGGCTTGAGAGGGAACTAGAGGTATAAAAATATGTTCAATGTTAAGGTATTAGTTTCATTGAGCTATTAATGTGGCCTGATATCACCAGAGCATAATTTATAGTTATTGTTTAACTTGACAAGCTACTACCTGGAAGGTAAGTTAGATGATTACCTAACCGTTTATCTACATCACTCTACTCTATTATCTTTTTATGTAAGTAGGAGCTGAGTGTACACATGAAGACCAGCCCAGTGGATATGCAAAGCATCCTGTGAACAGCATCAACAGGTCTGTCAGATCCAGAACAAGGTTTTAGAAATCATGACCCAAGAAGTGAAGACAAGTAAATTTAAGGAAGTGGGAAGGACATAGAAAAGGCTTCCCAGCCCAGATAGCACCTTCCTTATGAAGTAAGCTCTTTGAATACACACCTGTCTCCTGTGAAACTACTCGAAAGTCTCCCATGTCTAGCAGAACAGCTGAGTGGACTTCTGCGATGGACTGTAGCCATTACTTAAGTTGAACCTCTGAACAGTCCTGTAAGGTGTGCCTTTGTGTTAGTCTTGTTTTTATGTGAAGGACAGATCTCAAAGTAGTCTGGGGATGTGTCCAAAGCCACACAGAATGAAGTCAGACAAGATCTGGTGCCATGTCTTCCACCCCAGTCATCTATTCTTTCTACTATGTATCATGTATAGCAAAGCAAAGAACACTCTTCAGTGTCCTTCAAACACCCCTTACAGGTCACAGGTGTAGCACACCCATGCACACATGCATCTGCATTGCAGCACAAGCAAACCTTTGCTCTCCCTGCTGTTGTTTGGTGATGTTGATTTTTTTTTTCTGAGATGGTGCCAGGTAGCCTCTGCTATCCTTGAACTTGCTATGTAGCCTGGGATCATTAAACCCCTAATCCCCCTGCATCAGCCTCTCAAATGGGATTGCATGCCTGTCCTCTAGCTTACAAATAACAATAAAATCATTGCTCACATCCAAATAAATTTTTTTAAAGCTTTGGTGACAGGGTTTGTGCAGGATGGAGTACCCAGATGTAGGATGTTTATAGATAAGATCCCATTACAACTAAAGATCTATTCATTCACCCAAGGAAATGTAAGAGAAATGCCTGGAACGTTTTTCCAACCATATTCTATCCTCCTCCAAGATAATCTGCTATGATGGCCCATCCTCTGCCCTCCTCCAGATAATCTGCTGTGATGGTATGACGTTCACTGGGTGCAGATTTCCTCAGCACCAATGGGGATCATTAAACTCCTAATCCCCCTGCATCAGCCTCTCAAATGGGATTGCATGCCTGTCCTCTAGCTTACAAATAACAGTAAAATCATTATGGCCTGGCCTGGAACTTTTTAATGAGTTTGCCCAAAGAAAACTAATACGTAGAAGGTACTGCCCTGCCTTCCCCATACCTCACCTGGGTGTGTTCCCCTGCTGGGTGCAGTCACAATAGGGACAAGACCAGGTTGGAACACAGGAAGCAGAGAGGAGGGGAAGCTATGTTGGGTAAAATGGGAACAACAACAAAAAATAGCATTTCCCATCTTGAGAAAAAGCAGACTTGGGGTCTGTCCTGAAAATGAAATTGTGTGTTTAGACTCTGCTTATTCCAAAGATGGACTCAAGGCAGAGAGAGGCATGCTAACCATCTTTAAATATTTAGAGGACGATCATGTGGAAGAAGAATTCATGAGCAGGTGACTTTTAGACCATATACATTGTGGCACCATAGTAAGGAGAAAGATTTGGGAATAAAAATTAAATCTCAGCTCTTCTTCGTCATGTATCTGTGTGTGAGTTATTTGGCCTCCCAAGTTTGCCATTCCTTGGAGTTGTAAATGAGGATCATAGCACCTACCACATGAGGTTCTCATGAGGGTGAAATAAGATAGAATTTACCTAGCACTGGGCCAAGCACTGAGCTAAGCATCTCTGTCATGTGGAATGCACACAGTAGAAGGTAAGGATGAAGCTGTGTGTGGCTGTGTGGGGTTTATAAGCCTGGGGCCAGGGTTAGGATGTCCAAGCTGCCACTGGTCTCGGGAGGTTGTGGGAGCGATACAAGACCTGTCAGTCTTGAGGCATCAGGCTTCTGCTAGAGGTGCAACATTTCTCAGGGAGGAAACTGTATCTGAAAGATGAGTTGAGATGGTAGAGTATAGCATAGTTCTCTGTGGCTACTGCAGGAGTCATGGCAGACCCCAGGGTAAGGTTACAGATGCTGTGGCCTCACCGAAACTCACCAGCCAAAGTTGAACAATCTGCCAGCAAAGCTGTGAAATTAAAGACCTTCTGGGTCCACTTAGTGCTGGCAGTATTGCACAGAGTAGGGTTCAGTGGGTTAAACCAAGAGTACATGGAATTGGGAGGGTAAGTGGGTGGGGGAGATAATGGGAAGAGATGGGGGAGAAGGAGCGGGCTGGATTTGACCTAACCACATTATTTCCAGGTATGAAAGTCTTATACACTAATTTTTTTTAAACTCAAAAAAGTGATATGTATTAAATTCCTTAACCTAGGTTAAGTAACCCAGGACAAGGTGGGGATGGGAATTAACAGAAAGTCAGATATTCCAGATTCAGCTTGAGAGTTTTCTCTCCGGGTCCCGTCGAGCCCCGGTAGTCCCTTAGCCCACTTATAAAATAAACATACAGACGCTTATATTATTTAAACTGCTTGGCCATTAGCTCAGGCCTATCATTGTCTAGCTCTTACTCTTATATTCAGCCCACTACTATTAATCTATACTCTGCCACATGGCTCGTGGCTTACTGGTACCTTACATCTTCCTTGTCCTGGAGGCGGCTGTCTATCTCCCTGCCTTTCTCTTCCCTCAATTCTCCTCTCTGTTAGTCCCGCCTATACTGTCTGTCTGACTACTGGCCAATCAGTGTTTTATTTATTAACTAATCAGAGCAACACATTTGCCATACAGAACATCCCACAGCATTTAAGCCACAAGCCATGTGGCAACTTATAGATTAATAGAAATGGGTTAATTTAAGATAAAAAGGTAGATGACAAGAAGCCTGCCATGGCCATACAGTTTATAAGTAATATAAGCATCTGAGTGATTATTTTATATGTGGGTTGTGGGACTGCGGGGGCTTGGTGGGACCTGGAGAGAAGCTCTCCAGCTACATCCAGATTTTTAGACTGTTAATTCTTTGCAACTTATTCTTTAAGTAAAAGTTATTAAATGTGTAACTATAGAAAGCTTGCAGAAACCCAACCACCCCCCACCTTGCAAAAAGATTGAGTCCTCCAAGGCTTTATCATTTTAAACTCCTGTCTCCTAATTTCTTCACTATCTTGGCATACTATCTTTATTTAATATTTGTTAAGAATTAAGATTTTTTAAGGTGCCCAACACCACTGAGTCAGGGGAAAGGAGCGAACGAGATGGTGGTGAAGGTGACAGAGCCAACATGCCCTGAGTGGGTTTGTCAAGGGTTTCACGGTCAATTGTTTTCTGCTCCCTTTCATGAAATCAATTTGTTCACAAGTTGTTCATTGGTTTCTTTGGAGAATTTGTGTGTGCATATGTATTTCCTTTGTTTCTGGTATTTCTTTGTTCCTGTTCCAGGCTACCTACTGTCCTCCAATCAGTGGACAATTACTTCACAGAAAAAAACTAGTGGTACATGAAAAAAAATTAAGTTCTTATAAAGAATTAATCTCTATTTTGAAGATATTATAACTCACACACAAATATGTTCCTCCCCAGAGGCCGTAAAAATGACTGTGAAGTAATTAAGAATTTGTTTAGAAGAAACAAGGATCCTCCCTTCAGTGAAAATGCAGAAGCAGACAGTCACAAGCCATCAAAGGTTTGGAACATGTTTTCAATTTGAGTGAGAAAGATCAATGTATATTATTATTTTTAAAAGATAGTTGCCAGGGTTGGAAAATGGTTCAGTAGATATAAACACTTGCAGCACAAATAACAGGATCTGAGTTCAAATCCCAGTATCCAGGTTACAGGACAGCTGAGTGTATCCAAGTGCAAGTTTGTAACCTCAGCACAGCTGAGGTGGAGAGCAAAGACCTCTATGGTTCCCTATCTGCCAGCCCAGCTCCAAGTTCAATGAGAGACCCTGCCTCAAGAAGACAAGGTGGGGATTGAGAGATCAGGAAACATAATATTCTCCTCAACTCTGCACACCAATGTGCATGCACACACTCACACATACTCTCAAACTCTCATAGGCACATGCACACACACACATGCACACTCACATACACACATGCACATGCATGAACACACACAAGTAAATAAACACAATTTAAAAATAAAAAGATAATGACTGTTATGTTTACCATCTCCTTTGAGGAACAGCTCTAAAAACGCAGCCCACGTTTCAGTGGACGGGAGGTTGGGGTTGTCTTTGTAGTAGTGGAACAGGGACACAGCTGTATCCTTCGGATTTCTGACAACGTAGACAATCTGTTGAAACATGCGAACAATTTATTCTAGGATGAAAATAACCACAACCCAAAGTATTTCCCAAAAGAAAATTGTAGCTAAAACTTACCTATGCAAATTCTACCTTTTTATTTTTTTAATAGCTGTAGTTGATGAGTAAACAGTCTTAAGTTTCTGTCTCTGGAAATCCAGTGTGCACAAGAAGATCAGCCATGATGAATGTGAATATTTCAGAGGTCCTAGAGTTGGCCTGGCTTTCTGTGTTTTTGTCCATCCTCCAGAAAACATGGTACTCACAGCCCAGTGGACAGCTTTCTAGGTCAACTTGCTAAGTGTGGTCCTGTCTTTTAAGGCCAGGCATGGGAAAACCCCTATTTATTGTCAGGCAAAATTACTTTTTGCTTATCTATTTGTTAGAAAACACTTGCATGCCGCAAGATTTTTCACAAACTCTTTATTATTTTTATAGGAAAAAACTATAGTCTAGACCTTCCCTTTTTGACACTTTAAATCCTTGCACAATAGAACATTTAAGATTCCCTTCCAGTATCTAGGAACACTGCAGCTGTAGTTCAGACCACAAACATGTACTCAGTGTGTGCTGAAAATCAGGCAATGCTCAATGATCGCAGTGATCTAGTTCCAAGGAACACAGCGATGAGCAAGATGGAAAGGGTTGGAGCCCTCTCTCGGTGTAGGCTGAGGGAACAGACAATTAAATGTGCTCTTGACAATGAAGTGTGGTAGGAGTTCTGAGACAGGATCACAAAAGGAACAGGTGAGAAGCCCCCAGAAAGCAATAGAAGCATTTCTGATCATAGTCAACATCGCACAAGTTAAGAACGAGATGTTCTTGTGTTTCTAATTGACAACTGGGACAGACACCATTTACCTAGATAAGACAGAATTGGCTGAGTCACTTTTAATACATTGCTATCTTTCAGCAGCGTGTTCATAGTCCAGACGTGTGGTCCACATATATAGTGCCTGTTTCCTTATTAATTGAGAGATATGTAAAGGTCAATGAATTCAGGAATGAAGAACCACCTTTACCCAGCCCCACCCATGATCCCCTCTAACTTACATAACACCAAGCAACCTCACAGGCCTTGGGCCTTCTCTTACAGTGCCAGCTTCCAGAGCAGAACCACAGAAACCGAAGGCTTAGCAAACTCACTTCTAAAACTCCATTGCATGGACAAAATGGGATAAAGTGGCAAAGGTTTAAGCTTGCACTGATCAGTTGAAAATAGTTGTCCAGCCAGAGAAGTGAGTCTCTGGAGAAGCCTTAATGTTATATGTCTGTGTTGTCTACTCAGGAACATAAGGAAACCCATTTGTCGCAGATGTTAGAGTCAACTGAGAAACCTGAAGAATTACTGAAGAAAGTTAGAAGCTATAAAGGAAAGACTGAGGTACTCTGGGAGAGGAATGTTAACTAAAGCATCATGAGGGGCTAGAGAGATGGCTTAGTGGTTAAGAGCTCTTACTATTCTTCAAGATGTCCTGAGTTCAGTTCCCAGCACCCTCATTGGGCAGCTCACAACCACTTGTCATTCCAGATCTAGAGGACACCTGCGAGCGTGCGCGCACGTACACACACACACACACACACACACACACACACACACACACACACAAATAATAAAATAAAATCATTATTAAGCACCATAAAATGAGTTACAAAGTATAAATTCCATGCCAGAAATTTTCCTGGCAAAAGGGGAAGGAGAAAAACCAGATGAAGAAGGAGATCACACAACTGTCTTCTGCGCTCCCACCACACGCCAGCTGCACATGTGGTGCACAGACACACACAAGCAAAATCCTATACACATAAAATAAAATATTTTTTTAAAAGAAGAAACAACAGAAACTAAATGAAAGCAAAGGGTTTTGGGGAACACTTAGAGGCGAGAGCCAGCCCTGCGTGGCCAGGGGAAGCGTGACAGGCACAGCCTTCAGGACTGACCTACAAGCCCATCCACGGAGGGTCGATAGCCAACTATATGCAGCACTACATCATGAGCTGATAGGAACAAGATGTTCAGCTTGTGTTTCAATGGACAGCCGGGGACATGCAGCTGACTTAGATAAGAGAGTATTTGCTGAGTCACGTAATACTATTCTATCTTCTAGAGATGAGAAGGGAGGGCAGAGACTTGGTTCCCATTAGGGTCATTCAGGAAGGGTTATGCCTTAAGGCTGAACTGTCAATGTGCAGGTTAAGAAGCACCTGTCCCAGCTTCAGGTTCTTTGCTTTTAAGTGGCCTGTGACCCCATGTGTCATGTGTGGGGGACAAACACTAAACCTCCTGGCTAGTGGTGACTGGAGTAAGTTCTCCCTCTCACTACCTCTCTTCTTCTCCCTTCTCCCTCTCCTTCCCGCCCCCTACACACACACACACACACACACACACACACACACACACACACGTATGTATGTATGTATGTATGTATGTATGCATCAGGGTATGTGCGTGTGTATCTCCCCCTCCCTCCCCTCATCCTCTCCTTCCTCTGTCTTCAATGTCGCTTCCATGTCTCCTCCCTTCCTCCCTTCCTCTCTGGGTTTTGATTTAATCCAGGCATGAAAGACGAGAGGCCTGCCTTTCTCTGTCTGCCTGCCTCCCCTCTGTCTGCCTCAGAAACAGCCTGTTAGAAAGGAAAATGGTTCCTTGCATTTTGAAAGTGTAACTGAGTTAAGCTTCCCCTGTCTGACAGACGCTGCCCCTGACTGATGGTTTACTTTTGTTTATGGAGGACTGGGAGCCTTCAGAGCTGTGGTTACAAAGTGACAGTCGAAGGGGAATCTTCTCTGCGCCGTCATGTGGGACAGGCCCCTGGTTTTTGTTTGTGTGGTTAGAAAATGGCTGGCATGGTTGGAAGAAGCTTCATTTCTGCCAACTCCATATGTGTCTTGTCTCCGATTTCCAAACATTATTATTCTTCTGCTTTATTTCGGATCACAATGTTCCTTATGCACACACTTGTAAAAAATACACTGAATGCTAATGCCACACACTAGAAATTCCCTTCACTTGTTTGGCTATGTGAGTCTAGTGGGTCCCCGTCCCCCCCCCCCCCCCGTGTAGATATGTTTTAACCAAACTGAGAATATTCGTTATAATTGGCTTTTAAAAATAATAACCTACGAGTTAATAATAATGGCTTGAGGAAACTGTCCTTTAGCATTTCTTGTTATTATAACTTTTCCTAGAAAAATAATTAAATATAAATGGCACTTGCTTTGCTGCCATCAAGCTCCATGAGAGGGCAAGAAACTACAAACCCCAGGCCTGGAGAGACGGCTCAGTGGTTAGAGCTCTGGCTGCTCTTGAAGAGGACCTAGGTTCAGTTCCCAGCACTCACATGGTGGCTCACAACTCTCTGTAACTCCAGTTCCAGGAGATATGATGCCTTCTTTGGGACTCCAAAGCCACTGCATGCACATGGTGTGCACACACACCTAAAGGCACTCACACAAACACACAAAATTAAAAGAAAAATGAGTCTTTGAAGGGGAGGGAGAATTCATCATTCCCAAGGCTGCATGTCGAGAACAAGACTTACCTTACATTGCTTCTGTTTAACGGTAACAGGAATCATTTCATAGCTTAGATGCGTTGGGATAACTCTTCTCTTAGGGACCATTTTTAGCTCTTTGAATTTAGAAACATCTCCCCACTCAATAGGAGATGTGAGAGTGATTCCAGCATTGGGAATGTTTTCAATGACTTCTGCCACCCAGTGAGTTCCTTCACACAAACAGAAGATGAAATGCAGCTTTAATTAAATGTTGCAGCTGAGGGAATGGATGTAGGACATGAGCACATGATGAAAGTGAAGCAAGCATGACTGTAATCAGCAGCCATGACTGTGACACCCCTGGAACCCGATGAAATGCTAACTTGTTTTGAGTTGAATCCTGTTACAAGAGTGAAAAGGTTTACATGGGGTGCTTGCTGATTCTCTGTCTTAAAATAATTTGTTATTACTCATTTCTAGACCTTTCAAATCACCAACTCACACACATGTTCTCTAATGTGATTCCCATAATCCCATGAGCCATTTCTTTTTATAGGTAATCTTCTTCCTTCCCAACACCCACTCACACAGTGAGTATCCATTTTCTGTCTCCCCATGGTACCCAGCCCCTTCCTTTGTTAGAATACACACTGGAATACAGTTACCATGATGTCTGTGCATTTTTACCTCCCCATTTACCCCTTGAAGATAGACACAGATCTCCCTGTGAACATAGAATAGTTTTATGCAAACCAAGTCTTTGAATCACAAATGTTTGTTACACTCAGAGAGCTAAAAGGCTATCCTGGGATCTGGATAGAACACATGAACTCTGTTTTAGTCTTTTTGAGGGGATGGTGATGATAGTGAAGGTGTTGTTTTAAAACTGTATTTGTTATTACTGTATTTGTACATGATGCTGGGGAGTGAATGTCACAGAATGCACATGAAGGCCAGAGGACAACTTCGTAGAGTTGGTTCTATCTAAGACCTTTATCTGTGTTGCCTGGATCAAATTCAGATTGTCAGGTTTGCACACCAAGGGTTTTACCCATGAACCAACCTTGTTGGCCAAGTGTTTTTGTGTTTGTTTATGATTCAGGGGGTTGAACTCTTGGTGCTTCATTCATGCTACACAAATGCTCTTGCACAGGACTTCCCACACCTACTTCATTCATGCTACACAAATGCTCTTGCACAGGATTTCTCACATCCACATGCCCAGCCAAGAATACAACTCTACACTTTGGTGAGGCAAATAATGGCTATGTTTCAATTTTGCAGTAGAGAAACGAAAGCTTGCAGGAGGAAGTGGGGGCATTTTGCTAATATGAAGACTACATCCCTAAGGAGATTAAATCTGGCTAGTGCTAGTGTCCATTACTTCATTGTGATTTCAGTGAAGGGCAGTAGGCACAACTTTACAGCTGAGAAAATATTCAGAATCTAAATAGTGCTCTGATTTGCTTTACAGGTTTTATGCTGTGTACTTTAGAAAGCTTTTTTTGTTTTGTTTTTTAGATTTATTTTATGAGTGTGAGTGTTTTACCTGCAGGTATTTATGTGAATCTTGTGAGTTCCTGGTGTCTGCAGAGGTCAGAAGGGGGCATCAGAATCCCCAGAACTGGAGTTAAGAGCTGTGTGTGTGTGTGTGTGTGTGTGTGTGTGTGTGTGTGTGTGTTTTCAAAAAAAACCCTCTGACTCATGTGCACTTTGTCACTTCCCACAGTGAGGACCTCCTGCTCTAATTGATGACTACAGTACACAACCAACTCAAAGGCAGCTCGGCTACCAGCTATTGAACTGGTTACCGGGTAGCTACCATCTCCATGTGACCACTATTCTGGAAATAGTAGCAGGCAACTGGACATTACATAACAAAGCAAAATTAGCATAGAACCAATTTCAATGGTGGAGAGACTGGCATTCCTTATAGTAGCTAATGCACATACATGTGTATAGTAGCCAGTATGTATACAACTATGTAGGAATCAATTCTGAAGGAAAACTTTTTAGCAAGAAAAGTATGGTTCTTCTTAGAGCAGATGAAGAGTTCTAAAGCATTAAACATGAACTGAACAAAGGCTGTTTAGTCGTCACAATGACTGGTGCAAGTCACAATGGGAATTTGTATAAGCTATTTTTCTTATTACATATGGTATAGCAACACTTATGTATCTTCATAAATTGAACAAAAAGGAAAGCTTTACAGAACTTTAATTAGTTCACCTGAATCATTTAAAGGAACAAAATTTAAATCCTTAAAGATCATATCCCCTCCCCTTTGAAATAAAATTTCTGATAAAGGTATTATGGAAATGATTGTCCTGTTTGTTATTGTTACCTTTCTGCATCTTACAGTGCACTTTAGAAGAAACTCACCAGATTTGGGGTAGGAAACCAGAAATATGTCATCTTCTCTTGCATCAAAAGAATCCAAGGAATCAAGGAGTTCTTCTGAAGACATGGCAGAGAAGAGGATGCCCTTGTACTTGTGAAGGAGGCTTGGCTGACTCTGGGATGACATCTTCCACCTAATCTATTAGAGGTTGTATCCTCCACACAGTCCCTACACAAGCCACAGACACCTGGCCCTCGGTCACAATTCCAGAAGAGTAATCTTGTTGTCTCTAAGCTGACATTCCATGTGTCTATATATACCTTTTGCAATTCTTCACAGGAATAATTTTTAAACCATATCTGAGCCAATGTCTATTATAAAAAATGGTGTTATCTGAATTTTTCTGATAACACATGTTACAAAACATTTCCTTCCACTCAGCTTGGGTTCATTTGCACAGAACACTACCAGGCAACCAAGAGCAATCACCGTGTTAAGATAGTAACGCTAATCAAACCCTTGGCCTAAATAGGTAAATTCTTTTAGCCACTTAATGAATTACATCACTGAGGAAATACTTAGGGAAATTAGATTTCTACTTATTAACACGGTGGTATAGGAGGCAGCCAGGATTTACAGTTGGAGGTGAAAGAGGACAAAGACAGGAGAAGCAAGAAGGTTTCCAGGAATTGGCAGATACTCTTGCAACAATCTTTATGAGCTATAATTTAGAAGAGATCCAATGAGAGTCAGAATACTTATGGTAAAAAGGGATCTCTTGAGAAATATGCAAACAAGAGGCTGTAGAAAGAAGGAAGTTAATTCTTGTTCCAGTCACTTTTAGTCTTTGTCAATAATATTCCAATATTCCAGATTCAATGAAACATAGTAATGAAATGCCCAATTATTTCAGTGAACCACAATTGAATATTTGGCTTGTCTAACAATTGAAGGAACAATACACATTAATGAAGAAATAAACAAACTTTTAATTGGGCATCAAAAATAGACATATACTGTAGGGGAAATATTTGAAGAAGAAAGATGTCTATGACAGTAACAGAAATGATTGATCATATACTTAGGCAATGACAAAGAATTTACTAATAGGTTAAACATGTGAACTGAGAAGAGCTGCTGGGTCGTGAGGTCAGCACGTGAAATGAACCATATTCCTGCATTCTAAGAGAAAAGCAACAGAAAACAGAGCCTGACGGTGGGGTTGTAGCTCAGTTGGTACAGTTACCTAGCATGTGTGAAGCCCTGGAACAGATACTCAGCAACATATAAATGTCATATGGTGGTGCAGGCCTGCAATCCCAGCATCTAGCAGGATGTAGGAGGATTGGAAATTCAAGGTCCTTTTTCAAAATAAAAATATTAGAGGGATGCAAATATTAACTTTCTAGTAAGGGATGCAATGGGGGAATGCAAAAATTATTTAAAAACTGTTAGGATTAGTTTTTTAATAGTTAATTTTTGCATTCCCCCATTGGCTCTCTTTTAAAATTATTTACTTTTACTTAATTAAAATATAATTACATAATTTCTCCCCTCCCTTTCCTCCTCTCTACCCTTCTCAAATTCTCCCTCCCTAATTCACACCCTCCTCTTCTTTAGTGTTAGATATACATATAAATGAATAACTATATACAAACAACCTGCTGAGACCATTCAGTGTTACCTGCATGTGTATGTTTCTGGGGATGACCATTTGGAATTAGATAATCAATGGGGCTCACCCCTGGAAAATACTGATTTCCCCTCTCTCAGCAGTTGTTAACTACTCATAGCTCTTTATCTAGGGTTAGGGCCCATGGGATTCCCACCATACACTGGGGTATCAACTGATGTTAGAGTTGTTCAGGTCTTGTTTAGGCAGCCATGCTGCTGAACTTTCGTGGGTACAGTTTTCCCTGTATGACTAGAAGATACAATCTCACAGCAGACTTCCTCGTTCTTGGATCTTACAATCTTCTGCCCTCTCTTTCTTGATGGCCCCCGAGCTTTGGGTGCAGGAGCTGTGGTGTAGATGTACTCACAGATGCTGGGCACCCCATGGTCAGTTGTTCTCCCTGTTTCGACCAGCTGTGGTTTTCTGTGATGGTCTCTATCTGCTGTGAACAGAAGCTCTTTGATGAAGGGGAAAGCCACACTCTTCTGTGGATAGAGGCACAAGTATTCAGAATACAGTCAGAAACTAGGCTAGTAAGTAGTGGGTGGAGGTTCCTCTTTGAGAACCATGATCTCACTAGTCCCCAGTAGTTGGCTTAGTTTCCAGTACTGGACATGATTTCCCTCCTGTAGAATGGGTGTTAAGTCCAATTAGTTGGTTGCCGTCAAGAGATAAGCGCTGCTTTTGCAACTTTAGGGCTATCTCCCTATGCTGAACATTGTTGTGGTTCCTACTCATTGCAGCTGGGTAGGACTATTGATCGCTTTCCTCTCTTGGCAGTTTGCATATCAGTTTCCAGTACTATGAAAGCTAGTCCTTAGGGAGGAGTTCCTGACAGTTCCAGCTGAAATTCTCTGAGTCCTATGTCCAAAGTACATGGAGTCTTCAGCAGCAGGGTTTTGCCTTCAACTTCTGGGAGACAACCAAGGGCCATAGCAATAATGTTTAGGGAGTCTCTTGAATAACCCTTATCAACAACTCAAAAGGAGGTTTTTCATGCCTGGTGCTGGGGCTTTTGTTAGATAATTAATGGCTCTTTGGGGGGAGCATTGTCAGTTCAAGTGATGTAACTTTATTTAAGATATATAATGCATGTACCTATAATTGGGATTATATGTAATTTTAGGAATCCCTATGTCTTTTTCAAGCACCATTAGTTAAATTTATCCCTCCTCCCTCTTTTTCTGTATTGTTCTATTTCCTACCTCCCCAACTAAAGACCCCTCTCTGGTTTCCCATTTCCTCTTCATATCACCTGTATCATGCTATTCCACTCTCTAGTGCTACCTTTGTCCCCCAAAGTCTGGCCCTTTATTCCTGGTTACTACAGTTACTCCAGATTATTTCCTTACATCTGAAGATTTGGAGTTAGAAACCACAAATGAGAGAGAAAGTGTAGTACTTGTCTTTCTGGATCTGGGTTACTCAGTACACAATCTTTCTAGTCATCCTTGGCTACATAACAAGTTCAAAGTCAGCCTGGATCTCATGAGATCTCGTGTCGAAAGAAAAAAATAAGAATTTGAGAAAAGATTTGGAAACGAATACTATTTATGATAATGTGAAAAAATTGTGTTGAAATATTAGTCTAGCATAGCATGTTCAAGCAGAGTACAAAGAAAACAGTCAAGCATCACAGAGATCATTAGTGAGTGCTTAGATAGAAATAAGTCATACCACAGAACAGATGACTCAGGATTATCATAATGTCTGAATTCTCCTTATGATTTATAAAGTCAATACAGTTGGATCAAAATCCAAATAGGCAATCACACTTGTCTATATGCTCATGAATGAACATCAGTTGACAACATCTATGTAGACACAAAAAGGTCCTGGAATAGCCAAATAAATCTTAAGGGGTAAAAACTCTTAGGACTTACGAGATTTTAAGGAGTGCTACAAGGCAGTAGTAGTTAAGGATGATGTAGGCTGAACCCAACACTACACAGATAGACCAATGGAATAGAAGAAAGAGTTCAGAATGGCACTCATTCTTGGAAGCAGCATGAATCCCACCTTACACTATATACATATTGTTAAATTTTTGAAATAAAAATATTCTAGAGGAAATCAGGATATCTTGAGACTTTTGAGTAATGCAAAGATTTCTTCAAAAAGATAGATAAAAGTACTGTTAAAATATTATACTCAGATTCCATTAAGTTAGAAAGTTGTGTTGGTTAAAAGTCATTATTAAGAGAATAAAAAGCAAGACAGACTATCAGAAATTTTGAAATTCATATATTAAACTCTGTGCTCATTAGGAGGCTCTTTAAAAAAACCCTACTAAGATCAATAGTTTTTTAAAAATCAAACAACTCAACAATAAAAATGAGGGGAGATCTGAATATGTCTTTGAAAAGTGTTCAGCACTAGTACTCATGAAGTAATGGGAAATTAAGACTAGCAGTATAAATGAGGTATTTGTCCAGAGCCAAGGGCCTGGTGGACCTACTCACAGGGAAGCAATAATCAGTGGTGACTCAGAGCCCAGTCTTTTCAAAACAAGGTGGATAAACAAACACGTAGAATCTCTAGAAATTGTCCTAATGGTAGGCAGCAGTCAAAAATGTGTATTCAAGAATCTAAGAAGGTGCAAGGAAGGGAGCCACAGGCCGCTGCTTTCTTCAGAGCCCTTCCCCACCCACTCAACAAGTACTGTCCATTACAGACTACAGTAAGGCTAAAACGTGAGGGCCTCTGGGAAGACAACCCTCGCCCATTTCTCAGTTCCTCTAACCACTGAGATGCCCTCTTCCCAAGCATGCCAAGTTGACAGCCAAAGCTGACTATGACAGGAACTCGGAGATTCTAGGCCCAGCAGATGGTATATGAACTCTCACTGTGTTCTCATGAAGAAGAATAATTAAGAATAAAAAGTTGATTAAGTTAATTAATCAAATTGACCCTGGGCTGTGAGCATTGGATTCTCAAGCGAGGAATCAATCTTCAGCCAAAGGTTACAAGACCTGATACCTGCAGAGAATGGTCTGGGATACAGTTAAATGAAGGACATCAAGGGTAAGACAGATGTGAAAGTCTTTCACAATCAACATTTAGAAAAGCTGCCTTCACTCCTGGTGGCATGCTTCCCACTGTGATGACAAATGCCTGAGATAAGGGTTGATTTGGCTCAGGGTTTCATAGACTTCCAACCATGGCCAGCAGGCTCTTTAGTCCTATGTAGGCATAAGAAATCATGAGACAATGTGCAGTGAAGAAGGGCTCTTTGCCTCTTGTTAGCCAGGAAGCAACAAGAAAGAGAAGATAAGACCAGGTTCCGTTATCACCTTTGGGGGCATGCCCCCAGGGGCCTACCTTCCTGCTCCTGGGTTCCTGCTCTTAAGGGCCTGCCACCTACCAATAGCACTTCAGGCTAGTGTGGAACCATCTGCTGTGGGCAGACATTTTTCATCCTAACCATGGTGATTCCCAGAAGCTCTTGCCTTTCGTTAATGATTTATTTGGCTTTCTCAAGCTTTTACCTTCTTATGTTTCAAGAAAGAGAGAGAGAGAGAGATGTCAAGGGGCCCAGAAAGATGACTCAGAAGCTAAGAGTACTTGCTGCTCTTTCAGAGAATCGAGGGTTCAGTTCTCAGAGCCCAGAGAGGTGCCTCACAACTGCCCAT